TGCCCAGCCTTGACACCGCTTCATTTTTAAATATTTTATTCTAGGTTTAAATGTAGAGTTAAGGGTTTCAAAGTTTTTCAACTTACATTTTAATTAGATTTTTATTTAACGATTTCATTTTAAATTTGAAATTTGTACGGAAAATTATGAAATTTTATGAAAACTAATATAATTTAATTTACCTTTAATTTTTCTCTGGTTTACTACTACCTCTCTCCTCTATCTCTCCATCTCTCTCTTTCTATCTCTCTCTCTCTCTCTCTCTCTCTCTTTATTAACCCTTTACAAACCGGAGAAAACATTACCTTGGTTTGTGTCTTTGCTAATTAAATTTAAATTTATCTTGACGGACATCACTATAACTCGGTTTTAAATTTATGGAGTAGAATATCGATTTTGGTCGAGTTTCGTGTTTCTGAACTCTGTAAAGTAAGTACTAAGTAAAGTCATAATTTGGTTCAAGGAAAGGAACGCAAAATATTCATTTCGCATTAAAAAGTTCCGAAACATTTTATCCAATTTAACTTTTATTACTTAATCAATATTTTATAGTTATAACTCTCAATACTTTACGACTTCTTTAAAGAAATTGCTATACGAAAAAAGAAACCCGAACAAGAAAGGTACTCAGACAAGTCCTTAAGACAATCGTGTAATTAAAATGGTAAATCATACTCCAAAAAGTATGCTACATTTTCTTGTTGAATAACAAGTTTTTTTTTTCTTAAAAAGAAAGATGTACAAAAAACTGTAATTACAACAATAAAAGGTAAGATTTCATTTGCAAATTTACCAAGAAGTAATTGAGAAGAAAAAAATACAATGCGAACAGAAACTGAGTACTTCACCAAGGAGTTTTGCAAATTAAGGATAAATTAAAAAGACAGAGGGAAGAAATGAAAGAATAGTTTGCAAATGGATTTAATAGTATAGAAGAACATTAAGTATTTCTGCCAGACAATAATTGTTTTCATGATTGTTTTTAAGGACTTGAATGGTGATAGTTGTTTTCAATTAAAATGTAAAAATAAAATTGTAACATCAATAAAATGTTGCATACTTTTAGGTATCACATAAAAATAAATTTCCTAATACAAAAAATAATTCTTGCAACTAAATCCTTTAAGTCTGTTCACTTGATTTAAGAAAGAAAAAAAAAATCGATTTGTGTTTGTCAAATGCGGAAAAAGAAACAAAAAAAAAAAAGGATATACAAACCAAAAAAGGATACATTAACAATAAATGAAGCATTGACATCCTTTTCTCAGCAAACAGCGTGAGAGAGAGAGAGCGGAAAACTTGTATCTACACCTACAAATACGCGAAGCAATTGTGCAAGTGCAAAGAACTAAGAAAAAAGAAAATTAAAAAAAAAAATACGGTGAGAGAATGTTGCTCGAGAAAGAGTGAAAAAAAAAAACAGCGAAATAATGGCAAGGAAGAAGAGGTGGCCGCAGAAGTGCCAGTGCATTCACTCGGTGCATGTCAGCAGCATTGGGTTGAATCACATCCACGGTTAAGTGTTGCATTCTGCCTGGGTATGATATGTGTGTTCGTGTGTGTGTGTGATGATATGTCAATGGCTTTTAACGAAAACCGTGGTGAGAACAATGACAAAAAAAAGAAAAGAAACGTTTTAAGATACACGCAAGTTGCTTGGAATGTTACTGCATGATTTCATTCCCCATAGAAAAAATGGCAATAATGTGGCTTTGTTTTCCACGATTTCTTCTTCCTGTACTGTTTCATTTTTATATGATTTTTTTTGCCGCACTTTTTTTCGCTTAACTTCCGGAATTGTAAGAAATCAAATTTTTCATCAGCATCGTCATCATCAAAGTATTGTTTTATAAATGATACAGCAGATGACGAACGACAAAGGACGAATAAGTGAACAACTCATTCTTCGTTCGTTCGCTCGTTTTTTTATTTTTTTATTTTTTTTTATTTCTATAAAATGAGCAATATTTCTTTTGTCTTTGGCACGTATACAAAAATTAAGTACAGATTGTAATATTTTATGATGGATTGAGTGCTGGTGGGATGGAGGGAGGGGTAAGTGGAACAAGAAAACAATGTTAAGTACATGCTTGTGGGTGTATAACAGAAGTATGGTGTCTTCGCAATATCGACATCAAGGAGGCATGTTTATAGGGCTAAAAATCCTAAACGCAGTATGGCTGGAGGTGAAGATAGCCATAGCCAGGGAGTATGAGTACCTGATTGAACGCTTATTGTTCAGGGTGAGATAAAAAAAACTGCAAAGGCAAACGTCATTATTTTTAAATTTTTTGAAATTTTATTGAATGAAAGCAAAAAATGTCGGAAATAGTATCAAATTTTAGAATAAGTTTAGATTTGTTCAAATTAGTCACCTTTGGCACGAATTATGACCTTCAAATGGCCAATGAAACCATCACACACTGCTCGAATTTTGCTCTGCGGTATTTTGGCCCATTCCCGCCGAAGCGCTTGCTTGAGGTGATCGACACTTTGGTATTTTTAGTGCCAATCTTGCTTTCCAAAATACTCCAGACACAATAGTCCAACGGATTGGTATCCGGAGATTTTGGTGGTCATTGTGCGCTGGAAATGAAGCGAGGAATCTCATTTTGTAACCATTTTTAGGTGGCGCGTGCTGAGTGCGATTGTGCCGAGTCCTGTTGGAATGTCCAAGGTCTGCGGTCAAAATGTTTGCGTGCCTAATGCTTTGTTTGTTTACAAACTGCTGGACAACGAACGTTTTCTCATCAAGAAAACGAAATTCAGTAGTTCACCACTTTCGGCCAAGCAAAGCAACTCTTTAGTTCTTTCGAGTCAATTTTCCTTCTGTTGCGGTGTAAGTTTTTGCACTTATTGGAATTTCAATAACTTTACCCTGAGCTCATTTTTCAATATTTTCTAAATAGAACATTGCGATATGTTAAGCTCACGAGCCATCTTTCGACCACTGCGACGCAGGTTTCGATCCAGTCGCTTCTTTACTTTTCGAACCTTTTCTGCAAATGTTGCTGTTTTCTTCCGTCCACTTCCTTGATGTCGGGCTACGCTACCAGTATCACGGCAACGATCGATGGTACGAGTCACAAAGGATTTATTCACATTTAAATGCTGCAGTGCTCTAACGATAGCCACTTACGGTTTCCCAGCCAAATATAAAGAAATCACACTACCACGCTTGAATTCGATCACGAATAACTTTTTTCCGGAAAATTCTCACCAAAATGCTTTTGTACACAAGACAATGAACTGTTACTGGAATATCTACAAAAACGATTTTCTGTCATAGGCTATAGTATCCGTTACGAACTTTAAACACCAAATTTGAAACAATTCCGGTGAATAATGTCGCAAAAATCATTAAAATGCCAAATATCGGGGGTACCGTTATATGGGGGCTATACGTAAACGTGGACCTGCAAAGACAATTTTCTGTTTTAGGCTGTACCATCCTTTACGAAATTCAGATACCAAATTAGAAACAATTCCGGTGAATAATGTCGCTAAAATAGTCAATGTATCGACTATTGGGAGGTACCGTTGTATGGGGGCTATACGGACCCCCTACACAGAAGATTTTCTGTCATAGGCTATAGTATCCGTTACGAACTTCAAATACCAAATTAGAAACAATTCTGGTGAATAATGTCGCTAAAATCGTCAATGTACCGACTATCGGGAGGTACCGTTATATGGTGTTCATACGAAGATGTGGACCTGCACAGACAATTTTCTGTCTTAGTTTGTACTATCCATTACGAACTTTAAATACCAAGTTAGAGACAATTCCGGTAAATAGTGTCGCTAAAATCATTAAAGTACCGACTATTGGGAGGTACCGTTATATGGGGGCTATATGTAGACGTGGACCTACAAAAACGATTTTCTCTCATAGGCTGTAGTATCCATTACGAACTTCAAATACCAATTTTGAAACTAGAGTGATTTCCACAGATAAACAGACGGACATAGCTAAATCGACATAGAATTTTATGCTGATCAATAATATATAGTATATGGGGTCCAAAATGTATATTTCGAGGGGTTACTATGGTGGAGAGTATAAAAATTAACAAAACACATAATGAGGAAAAATACAATTTTTAAAATTTGATTCACAGATTTAAAGACTCATGCATTCCTTGGGGTAATAGAAAACAATTTGCTCTTTACATGTACACATACCTATATATTTCACCCATCAAATCATGTAATATGGTTGATTCTGCATTTTTGGAAAACAACAAAACATCGAGCCCATAAACGTTCCCCTTTAGCATTTTGTAAACGTAAATGTAAATATTGACGTAAAAAGCTTTTAGCAAAATTGAATACTTTGACATTGTCCCCATTTTTCGGTTTTGTCCTTGAAAACGAAACCAAATAAAAATTGACTTTCCGCTGGCAGAAAAAAAGGAAAAACATGTTAACTCACTACGTTGTTGCCAAAACACGGATATTGGCTGACTGTGGCAATAATTTATGCGTTCCATTTTATTCATATCCGTTGGTGCACAGAGCAAATATTGACTTGAAATGTCACCAGAGAACATATTTTGACAATTTTCATTTACATAACAACGAGTTTGGTTTAGGTATGAGAAAATCCTAAATTTTTAGTTTAAAGTGGAAATATGAAAATGAAAAATGCGTGAATGAAAATTAATGTAGTCCTTGCTGTCACAACCCATTGTTCTTCTCAGACATTGTTTGCCAAGTTGGTGTCATGATAATCTTAAACGAACCAGTCAGTGTAGTTTAAGTTTTTATGACATTTTTGAAATAAATTTTCTCATTACGACACCACCTTCAAAACCCTCCTGCTCCTCCTCACGAAACATAAAACAAAATCTTTCTTCGAACCCTCATCCCTCTTTTGAGATATGCAACAATACCTGTTAAAACTATAACAATGTGCGCCCAAGGGAATGCTGCAAGTAATTTTAGAAATGACGAAAACTAAAATCGCACACACACACTCTCACTCGCATCAAGCTTACCTTTATTAAATAACTCCGTGGGTTGTGCATGTAATTGCTGGCAATCAAGAAAACGTCGCTGATGCAAACACGTCAGCGATGATGAAGGAGTTGCGGATGGTATTGCGGCCGTTACTGTATCCAGGGTAGTTGTTGGCGCTGCACCAGATGGCACCGTTGTAGCCGCCAGTGATGTGCTCGATGCCAAGGCATTTGGCACTGATGATGGCGACGACGACGTATTCGAGGCGGGTAATGATGACGATGATGCAGTTGCTGTTGTTGCTGAGGATGATGATGATGATGACGATGCAGACGACAATGAGAATGAGTTGGATGTAATGGTGGTGACGGTGGCGGTGTGGGAACTTGACGATAAGGACGAGGAATTGTTAAAGCCATTATTATTTTGGTATACTGTCGTCGTTGCTGCCATTAACGGTGTATTAGGAACCTGCAAAAACAGAAAGCAAAAATGGAAGGTAAAAAAAACATTGAAGAGTCATTGTGCTTTGTTCTTTGGTTATACACACACACACACAAAAAATTTACAATGTATAGAAAATTAGTTATTATTCAAGAATCTAACGGTAAATTAGTTGTTGGCGAAATGTGTTGAGATATTTCTCCATTGAAAATTCTTTTCAAGATTTTCTTCTCTGTTTCTGAATAAATAACAAATGGAAATATAAGAATTTATAAGAGTAATACATAAAACCACCTTGGTTAATCAAATGATATTTTGGTTGGAATACAAGAAAAGATAAGGATGAAAGAGTGAAGCACATTTTAAGGGTGGGCTTGTTAATGCGTTAGCAAGAGGAGATGCAATGATGTGGATGATATTAAATCTCTTTTAAAAGGAGAGCTAATTGTTACCTCATTTGTGGCATACAATTAGGGTTGGTTGAAAGTTTAAAATCACAGCAGGACTATAAGTGTTGAGAATATAGAAAGAATGTGAAACGTATAGCAAAGAAGGATAATAGTTATGACAGAAAAAAAAAAACATTTTTTAAATAAAAAGTAGTAAGAATACATGAAATAGATTATGGATTTTAATATAAGAAATAAGATTGTCACCTATAATAGATTAAAAATAAAAAAATCTTTCATCCTACAAAAGTTATAATTGAGTATAATTTGGGAATATTTTCCAAAAGCATTCTCTTTTTCTTTTTCAATGGACAACCAGTTGCCACAATTTCGGATCATTGAAGAATATTCTTTTTTTTTTGGGACTTAATTTTATTTTTTTTTTGTTTTTGGGACTTTTTTATTGAATATTAGTGCCTGAAATTAGGACCAAGGACTTGTTGCTCCGCTTTATCGTTGAATTTTTGTTTGACCTTTAGAGCCATCATTTTTTTAATAGTCTTAAAACGGCACTAACGGCGATCGACCCGAACTCTTATGCTTTCAGCACATACCCTCCACCATTCTATGGAGGGTATACTAACATTATCATTCCGTTTATAACTCCTCGAAATACTCATGTTAGATCCTATAAAGTACATATCAAACGCCATAATTTTTACTTTTTTTTTAAATTTTATTGAATAAAAGTAAACAATGCCGGAAATAGCATCAAATTGTGGAAAAAGTTTGGATTTATCCGAATTGGTCACCTTTGGCACGAATTATGGCCTTCAAACGGCCAATGAAACCGTCAGACGCTGCCCGAATGTTGCTCTGCGGCATTTTGGCCCATTCCCGGCGAAGCGCTTGATTGAGGTGATCGACACTTTGGTATTTTTTAGTGCCAACTTTGCTTTCCAAAATACTCCAGAGACAATAGTGCAACAGATTGGTATCCGGAGATTTTGGTGACCATTGTGCGCTGGAAATGAAGCGAGGAACCTCATTTTGTAATTATTCTTGGGTGGCGCGTGCTGAGTCCTCTTGGAATGTTCAACGTCTGCGGCCAAAATGCTTGCATGCCCAAGGCTTTATAACATTCTCCAGAATATTTTCGAGATAATATTCGGCATTTATTCTGATGCCACGGTCGATTAATACGAGCGGAGAGCGGCCATCGGTTGTTATGGCAGCCCACACCATCACCATGGCCGGCGCTTGAATTCTGGTGGCCAACCGAAGGTGCACATTTTCAGATGACCTCTTTGACAAGTAAACACGATCATTTTGTTTGTTTACAAACTGCTGGACAACGAATGTTTTCTCGTCGGAGAAAACCAAATTCGGCAGTTCACCACATTCGGCTAAGCGAAACAACTCTATAGCTCTTTTGAGTATATTTTCTTTCTGTTGCGGTGTAAGTTCTTGCACTTTTTGGAATTTCAATGGTTTTACCCCGACCTCATTTTTCGATAATTTCCGAATGGAATATTGCGATATGTTGAGCTCACGATCCATTTTTCGGCCACTGCAACGTGGGTATCGATCAAGTCGCTTCGTTACTTTTCGAACCATTTCTGCTGATGTTGCTGTTTTCTTCCTTCCACTTCCTTGACGCCGGGATACACTACCAGTATCACGGTAACGGTAATGGTTTTCCAGCCAAATATAAGAAATCACACTACCACGCTTGAAATCCATCGCGAATAACTTTTTTTTCTGGAAAATTCTCACCAAAATGCTTTTGTACGCTTGTAAACAATATAATGAGCTGTCACTGGAATAAATTTAACAGCTGTCGGACGAGCGGCTTAGAAATGACAGCAGTCTGAGGTTGCTTGCAGGTTTTTCATCTTACCCTGTACATTTAAATTTCTTTTCAAAACAACAAACACTTTTGAAAAATTTCTACAAAATTAGTTTCATTGTCTTTCTTCAAGGTATGTGTCACAACACAAATAATTGTATTGCTTAACAAAATAGTCTACACTACAAGATAGTGTGGCATTGAAGCTAGTTTGTATAAAATACCAAAAAAAAAGAATTTCTGTCCTGCTCAAACAAAATGCCTCAACTGTGCAAATTGTTGCCAGAAGTACAACATTTTGTTGCATTTGATAGAAGTAACATAAAAACGGAAAATAAGTTTTCATGCTTTGTAGAAAGGAAAGTCTATTTGCTTCATTATACAAAAATGTTGCAACTAAACAATACATCGTTGAATGAGCAAGGCTATCACTGTTTTTAGGGAAAACAATTGTGGCCTTCATTCAATGACTCTGTGTTTATTTGGTGAAAGCATTTTTCGAAAATTGCATTTAGGTTGAAGTCTTGTCGTTCATTTGTTTTACCTCTGCTGTGAGTACTACTACGTCCATTTGTTGTTAACATTTAGAGTTCTTGCCTTGTGCTGGAAAAAATGTTATCCTCAATGAACGAGCGAATGAATGAATGACTGGTATGTGGTTAAAATCGTGACGGGTTTTTTTAGCATTACTACCTTTCTTCGTATACACTATCCGACGACGATAACGACAACAACAGCAGCAACCTCTTTTGTATTTGTTTTAGTCTCGCTTCCTTTGGTTTAAAACGTAAAGTGCTTTATTAGTTGAAAATTGCATTTGTCAGCAGAAAAGTTGGGCACAGTGATTTTCAGTGGAAATAATTAACACGTTCAAATAATAATTCTCTTAACACGAGCAAAGAGGATTTTTACAAAAATATTCTCTTACAAGATCTGAAGCTTAATGATCTTCAACAATTATTCATAATAAATACATACATGCGAGGGTCACACAAAAAATATGTCTAAACAATCTACGCTTACGGCTCTCTTTGTATATTCTCCTCGGTAAACTTCAAAATTAAAGATTTCAAATACTTTTTGCTTTAAAGGCTAAACACGTTTATATTGTTATTTTCGAACAAGAAAAAACTTAGATAATATAAAAAACTTTGGAAATCTGAAACATTTAGTACGATGTATGAAGTTTGGATTAAAATATACTGTCAAATTGGATAAATTGTGCATTTTGAGCACTAAAAAGGACCTAACAAGAACTGTTGGAAGGAATCTATAAATATAAAGTGGATTTTTAGCTGACGAAGTAGCGGGCACTTGCTGCTTTAACAAAACTCTTGGGTAGTTGAAGAAATTGTTATGTAGGTGGCGGATACGCTGTGTTAGTACGTATACGCACCCCTGTATTACAGCAAATTTGGTATGTAATCCACTTTACTCAAGCTAATGCTTCAATAATAAATTTTTTATCCATTTTTATACCCTCCACCATAGAATGGAGGGTATATGAAGCTTGTCATTCCGTTTGTAACACCTCGAAACATACCCCACAAAGTGTATATATTCTTGATAAGCATAAAATTCTATGTCGATTTAGCGATGTCCGTCCGTCTAACGGTATGTACGTCATTGGAAATTACTGTAGCTTCCGAATGAAATTAAGTAGGTTGATAAAATTTTACTAAAAAGTATATTATGTCTGCAGGTATTGAAAATGGGTCATGTAGGTCCACGTTTTTGTATAGCCCCCATATAATGATGATTTTAGGGACATTATTGACCGGAATTGTTTCAAATTTGGTATTTGAAGTTCGTAATGGATATTAGAGCCTATGACAGGAAATTATCTGTACGGGTTCACGTCTTCGTATGGCCCCAATATAACGGTACCTCCCTGTATTCGGCATTTTGAAGATTTTAGCGACATTATTAAACGGAATTGTTTCAAATTTGATATTTGAAGTTAGTAATGGATACTACAGCCTATAACAGAAAATTGTCTGTGCAGACCCACGTCTTCGTATAGCCCCCATATAACGGTATCTCTCGATATTCGGTATTTTAATGATTTTAGCGACATTATTCACCGGAATTGTTTCAAATTTGGTATTTAAAGTTCGTAATGGATACTACAACCTATGACAGAAAATTGTCTGTATAGGTCCACATTTTTGTATAGCCTCCATTAAATGGTAGCTCCCTATATTCGATATTTTGATGATTTTAGCTGCACTATTCACCGATTTGTTTTCAAGTTTCGCATTTGAATATTGTGAAGACTTATGTCAAAAATTGCATATGCAGGCCACACCGTCTTATACATGCGGCTACATTCCGTATTTTTAAGATTTGAACGGAATTTTAAATGGATTTATTTTTTTGAAATAGCCAAATTCATTCAAAAATGGTGGAGGGTCTTCAAAGTTCGGCCCGCCCGCATTTACAGCTTTTTTTAAATTGTTGATAAGGCAAATGGTTTCCAGATGGAATTCCAAGACTCTTCCATTGTATTGAATCCACAGTAATTTTTGTCTTTCACAGTTCAACAGCAATGGCATTTCCAAAAGAAAGTAGGTGTCAGTTGATTGCTTGCGTTACGTTTTGCTTTTTTCATTTGTTTTTTTTTCGGTCTTTCAAACCAATTCAATGGAAAATGGAAGTGGAAAATCATTTCGGTCTTGCACTCCATTAATACCAGTGAAAATTTCTTTTGTTTCCCCTTCATTGAATGTCGGGTGGTTTTTCTCTGTCAATTGGCTGGAGCCGAGAGCGCATTTTTAGTGGATCTTATC